TTTAACATCTCCAGAACATTGTTTTCTTTTCTTGTTGGTTAAAAAAAGATAAGAAAGGGAATGATGTTAGCAAGAATGGTGCAATGAGGACTTCAGAAAATCCTGTCCCCATAAAAGCCATGAAAACAGTCAACAGTTGTGAAAATCAACTTTTTAAGAGCTTGAAATTACTCAAAGACTTGCAACATTGGGAGTATTTATTTATTACATAAATCAGTGCAATAGAATTGAGAGTTCAGAAATAAATCCTTGTATCTATGCTCAATTGATTTTCAGCAAAGATGCCAGAACAATTTAATGGGCAAATATGAACTCAAAATAGATCAAAGTCCTAAATGTAATAGCTAAAACTATAAAACTCTTAGAAGAAAACATAGCTGTAAACCTTTATGACCTTAAATTACACAATGGTTTCTTAGCTATGACATCAAAAGCACACACAACCAAAGCAAAAATAGGAAATTGGACTTTATCAAAATTAAAAACTTTTGTTCTTCAAAAGATACCATCAAGAAAGTGAAAAGACAACCCACAGAATGGGGAGAAAAATACTTGCAAAACATGTATCTGATAAGATCTAGAATATATAATCTCTTATAATTCAACAATAGAAAAAGAAGTAACCCGATTTTTTAATGAGCAAAGATCTTGAACAGACATTTCTTCAAAGATGATATGCTGGGGTGTCTGGGTGGCTCAGTTGGTTAAGCATCCACCTCTTGATTTCAGCTCAGGTCATGATTTCAGCGTTGCAAGATTGAGCCTCCTGTATCGGGCTCCGTGCTGAGCATGCAACCTGCTTAAGATTCTCTCTCCCTCCACCCCCAACCGCTCTAAAAAAAAACAAAACAAAAAACAACCAAACAAAAAAACAGATAACGTGCAAATGGCCAATAAGCACATGAAAGAATGCACTACGTCATTATTAGAGAAATGCAAATCAAAAGCACAATTAGATACCTCTTCACATCTACTAGGATGGCTGTAATAACAAAAGATGGACAGTGACAAACTTTGGTGAACATGTGGAGAAACTGGAACTCTCATACATCCCTAGTGGACATGTAAATGGTGTTGTCGTTTTAAAAAACAGTTTGGCAGTTCCTCACAAAGTTAAACATAGAATTATCATTGACCTAGTAGTTCTACTCCTCCACGTATACCTAGGAGAATTGAAACTTGTGTTACATGAAAACTTGTACACAAATGTTCATAGTAGCATTATTCATAATAGCCAACAGGTAGAAAAAAACCCACATGTCCATCAACTGATGAGTGATTAAATAGCAGTATATCCATAAAATGGAGTATTATTCAGCCTCATAAAAGAACGAAATTTTAATACATGCTACAGTGTGGTGAACTTTGAAAACATGATGCTAAGTGACAAAAACCAGTCACGAAAGGCCACATGTTATATGATTCCATTCATTTGAAATTTCCAGAAAAGGCAAATGAACAGAAACTAACTCTATGGTTCCCAGAGGCTAGCAGCTGGGACAAATGGGTATGGAATTTCTTTTTTGGGTGATGAAAAGATTCTGGAAATAGTGGTGATGGTTGCAGAATTTTGTGAGTATAGTAAAAACCACTGAATTGTTTTAAAAGGGTGAATTTTATTGTGTGTAAATTATGTTCAAGATTAACTTCCAGATGTCAATCCAGATAGAATAAGTGAAATATATCGCTTCTCGGCCCTTTGGCTAAGATTGAGTGTAGAATAAATGAAATATTTCCCACACAAAGAAGACCTCATTAACTCAGTAGTAAAATGATTCTTTTTAATAAAGTAAGAAGAAACAACTCACCAAAAACAGTATCAATTTGTTCTAGAATAGCGATTTTATTAGTGAGAGTCCAGGGAAGGGCACCGTCCCTGATATCAATATCTTCCTCATTCTTTCTTCATTTTCTAAAACTTCTTCAAAATTTACCATGTTCCTTCTAGTTTAGTTTAACTCTAACATGACTACAACTAGTTCAATCTAACTCTTTATAAAGACACTGAAGCTGCAAACAAGGATAAAGCAAATAGTTTCAACTCAAGTACTAACTCAGATTGATTGGTAAGTGGCTACATGGAACACTGTTTAGAAGGATTCTGAGGCTATATCCAGGCAAGGCAGAAAAAAAAAAGTAGTAATTAATTAAGAAAATCTTTCTTGAGCTTGGCAAAGTTAGTAGAGGAGGTGGGCAACACTTGAGCTCATTCTTTAATCTGGGAAAATGCATTATTCTGCTGTGAATGCAAAATCAGTTAGGGAGATAAATCTGGATGGGTTGTAATGCAGTTAATAGGCACACTTACACAGCATGGCCTGAAAAGAAATTTGAGGTCTCTAGTTTACATGCAAAATCCCAATGTTTTGAAATAGCCAACACTTACGGCTGAGATATCAAGATCTCTCAATAAATAGCACCAGCTTTCATACTGTATACTATCAAGATATTTTAAATAATACATTGTTATAGTATGTGCTCTCAAAGGTTCTTAATATGAGCATTAGCATAGGCTTATAATAAAATCTGATATAGTGAGAGATTATGTCAGGAGAGATTTTTTTTAAGTTTTTATTTAAATTCCAGGTAGTTAACCTAGTGTAATATTAGTTTCAGGCATACAATATAGTGATTCAACACTTCCATACATCACCTGGGGCTCATTACAGCAAGTGTCCTCCTTCATCCCCCTCACCTTTCTCCCCCATTCGCCCAGCCACCTCCCCTCTGGTAACCCTCAGTTTGTTCTTTATAGTTAAGAGTCTGTTTCTTGGTTTGCCTGTCACTCTTTTTTTTCCCCCTTTGCTCGTTTGTTTTGTTTCTTAACTTCCACATATGAGTGCAATCATATATGTTTGTCTTTCTCTGGCTGATTTATTTCACTTAGCATAATACTCTAGCTCCAAGAGAGATTTTTTTTTTTTTTTATGGCAGTCACTGAAAAAAATCAAGATAATCACCAGTAGATGGACTCTCTGAGCCTGCAGCAGCACACATTTACTTAACTTTGAGTTTTACCTCCAAGTGGAACTGTCTCCTCCCACCTCTACATGCTATAGTACCCAGTCCTTTCTTTGATAGATAGGTGTCAAAAGGGGGCTCCTGGGTGGCTCGGTCAGTTAAGCATCCAACTCTTGATTTCGGCTCAGGTCATGATCTCAGGGTCGTGGGATCGAGACTTGCGTTGCGCTCCACGCTCAGCGGAAGTCAGCTTGAGATTCTCTTTCTCTCTCCCTCTTCCTCTGCCCCTCCCTCCCCCAAAATAAATAAATAATTCTTTTTTTTTTTAAAGGTGTCTAAATAATGAGTCCTATTTCTCTGGCAGATATTGTAAATCTTTGCTTCTCAAATGTGGTCCCCAGACCAGCAGCATCAGCATCCCCTGGAACTTCTCAGAAATGCAATCCGTTAGAATTGCAGCATCACCCCAGACCTACGTGGTGGCAACTCAAGGGTGGGCCCAGCAATCTGTTTGCACAGGGCCCCCGGGTGACTCTGGGCTCAAGTTTGAGAGCCACTTCTGTGAGTCGTTTCCTTCCAGAAGTGGGAAAGGCAGTAGGGAGGGGGAGAATTGAGCCTGCAGGGCAGCAGCGTTGGCCCACGATGGGAAACTCCAGCAGACACAACGAGGAGTTGTTTTTTTCCTCTGCTTACCCCATGTGCCAACTCTCTACTTCTTCAGAAAAGGTTTGAAGTGCTCTCAGGAGCTCCCCTAGTCACCATGCCCACCCCACTACCAGCCTGCTTCGAGTCCCTTCTATGGGGACAGCAACGGAAAGCAGGAAATGAGGATGGCACTTATATATTGCCTCATGTCACAGAGAAGCTGCCCTTTCTGTTTAAAAAAGAGTTGTCCTCAAGAGCCCCAGCCTAGTGCTTCCAAACCCAGCAGGCCCCACAGCTAGGAAATGCATGTGAAGCACTTAGAACAGCACCTGCTTCATAGTGAGAGTTCACTCTGTGCAGGGAGTGATGGTGATGGTGGCAGTGAGAGCAAGGGCCGGATTTCCCCACAGGGATGCCTGGGTTGGCATCTAGAAGCAGTTGCTCTTTGTACTGGGTGGGTGGTCGCTATGTTGAAAGGCTGCCCACTGGAGATGTTGATCTTGAAACCCTTTGCAGGCCAGCGAGACTCCCTGAAGACAGTGCCCTAACTGTGAGGCTGGCCATCAGCTGAGGCTCCTCTGGCCTGTCGGTACTCACCACAAAGCCCAGGGGCCTGGCTGGGGTTGGCGTCTGGGGTGATGAGCATGGGAGGAGGGGCTGAAGAAGATCAGGCAAAGCAAGGAGGAATTTCAGAGCCTTTCTAGTAAGAGTTTGGTGTTGGGGAGCCTAAAATGCAAGGAGTGGAGAGGTGGTCCCAGGATGAAATGCAGCCGGTGAGATGCTGGCCACAAATGTGGGAACCTCTGAGCATGCGTGAGAGTGCAGGTCCCACAGGCAGTGGGTCTCCAGGACACACAGGCAGATCGGGTCACTGCTATAGGAAGCTACTGACCAGAGTCAGATTCCGAAGGCTCAGGTCAGGTTACAGTTCTTGCTTCTGATCTGTTTTGTTCTGTTCTTCATAGCAGTTTTGTTTTATATCCTGGTGTAGCCAGCAGAGTACCACATATCAGCGATTCAGCGTCAGGAAGATAGGGGAATTGGGGCAGGAGGAGGGGAGAGGAGCAAAAAGAGGGCAAAGAAAGGAGGAGGGGGTGGGGGAGAAGGAAGTGGTGAGTGCCCTGTCCTCCAAGTTTTGCATATGCTTTTCCATTTAGTTATCAAAACTATGAGATTTCGTTGTGGAAGAGTCTAGAGAAGGAGAGTCTTATTCCTAATTTTAAAAATCAGCTGACAGTGAACTTCATCTGCCTAGGCCCCAAGATCTGAGGCAACCAAATAAATTCAATCTACTATAATGATGCAAATTGGATGCAGATCAAATCATTGGGAATGAGGGGAGCTGTGGAAAGAGAAGGTTGAGTCCACCAAGGTATTCTGACTCCAGCAGAGGCATGCTGCTCCTCTGGGTTCTGAAGTTCTCAAACGTTCATGCATATCGGGGCCAGGAAGATGAATGCAGCATGCTAAAGGGGCCTGGTATGAGATGATAATAGGCAACAGACACTTGGCTTCAGTGTCAGGGGGTAATAGGGAGTAGTGGGGAGTGCCCATGCCACCTTCTGAAGAGGCAGCACTACGTAGCTCCAGCCTGTTATAGTCGTGTGTCATGTGACCATGGTCTCAGCGTTGTGGGACCTTCTAATTTTTCACAAGAAGGCAGAGATCCCGTGTTTAGGCAACATTCGGTAGGCCATTGCAATGCATCAGCAGGCTGTATCTGCCCTTAGCTTCACTGGACCACAGTTGTGTATTTCCCTGAGTGGTGAACAGCAGGTTGATCCTATCCTGGTGCTCCTTTCTCTTTCCAGGCCACTACATTTATGTGGACACCTCCTTTGCCAAGCAGGGGGAAAAAGCCGTGCTGCTGAGTTCTGACCTACAGGCTGAGGAATGGAGCTGTCTCCGACTGGTCTACCAGATAACCACGTCTCCAGGGTCTTCATCAGACACCAGCCGGCTGAACCTCTATGTGAGATTTGAAGATGAAAGTTTTGATCGCCTGCTTTGGTCAGCTAAGGAACCTTCAGACAGCTGGCTCATAGCCAGCTTGGATTTACAAAACAGTTCCAAGAAATTCAAGGTAGGTAGAATGTAGGCGCCTGACTTATCATATAGCATTATGTGACTCTGAGATCGTATGAAAATTTCTGCCACTAAAGTTACTGATCTCCTATGTTAGGATGTGCTGCTTTATAAGAGCTGTGTCCCAGAAGAATAGTAATAATTAATAATTGGTAAGTTAATATTGTGTTTATTCTTTAGAAGAGCTTCTTCCTGGATTTCTTTCTTGTCTACTTAAATGGGACTTCTGTGAGAATCTAAATGGAGCCTAAACCAACTTCTTAGATGGAAATTTATTTTCTAATGGGCTTTAGGGAGCATTCTCATTTCTAATCATTTTGTTTCCTCTTTCTCAGTTTGTGTGTGGTATCTCCCTAATGGTCTGTTTGCTACAAATATTGAACAAAACATTCACTATCGTTAAAGGAAAAGTGGAGCTACTTTGAAGAGGGAAAGATACATAAAGGATATGTTCTGATTCCTTTTCAAAGATGGTGGTTGTTGCATCAGAAGTGTTGGAAGAGGAAGGTCGACAATGTAACATAAAGCTGGATGTTGTTTGGAGCAGGGAAGGAGATGCAAGTGTGACATGTAGTGAGAGTGTCGTGGAGGAAAGAATAGGGCCTTCACGAACACGTTCTCCATTCCTAATTCCCTTTTCAATTCCCTATCCCATTTCTCTCCCTCAAAAAGTGCTGAAATGCTGTCTACTCCTCTCCCCGTCCCATCAGGCAGGAGGGAGGGTTGAGGGAAGGAACACTGAGGTCCGAGCTCTCTAGTTCACACTGTCTGCCCAGTAGTAGGGCACATCCTAAATCTCCCAGCATAGTTGCCAAAGACTGGGCTGAAGTCACATAAAGAGAAGCAAATACTTCCGGAAATGGGAGCAAAAATGAGCCACAGCAGGGCTTGAAATCAGCCATGTAAATTGTCATGCTCCCCTCGGTTCTTTATGTAAAATTTTCCAAATTTGTTCAGCAATATAGAAACTACAGGTTGATTTACGAGCCTCTTCCATCTCACGTGGAGTCTCCCACCGCTAAGTCAGATTGTGCTTCCCCCCTCCTCCAAGGGTCTTCCTCGCTGAGGCCTCTGCCCTGAGTCCCTGACTGTTCTCAGAATGCATTTCCCCAAGGGCACCAGCCCCCCTCCCCATCCACAGCCAACTGGGGCCACCACAGACGCTAGAGAAGGGGGTGGTTGGAATAGCACTTGAAGACAGTTGGCCCCAAGCTTTACTGGACACCTTGCTCACCTTGTACACACACACACACACACACATTCTCTTAGAGCCCGTGGTGAGACTGGTATCCAGTAGCAATTAGCTGAGACAAGCAATCTCGCTTTGCCTTGAATTGCTGAACAGCTCCTGACTAGTCTCTGAAATTCTGAGCCAGGGAAACACAGTGTTTCCTTGGAGTTAGGGAAGCCTGACTCCCTTCTTCCTCCTGTGTCATGCAGATTTTAATAGAAGGTGTGCTTGGACAGGGAAACACGGCCAGCATCGCACTCTTTGAAATCAAGATGACAACCGGCTACTGTATTGGTAAGTGGGTTTCGTCCTCACTGTATTGGAATGTGAATTGTGAATCTTCTTCTAAAATCTGTTGCCAGAGGGAACTGAACCAGTCCTAAAGGCAAGGTGTTTTATGGAAGTCAGTGCATGATGCACTGTAGCTTACATGCTTCTCGAGGTTCACTTGAATGGTGTATGTTGCTCCTGTCTGTAAGCGGAGGAAGGCTCGCTGGAGTCTGCCCAGACTGGCTAGGTTAACGAAGGGAAGGTAGCTGCAGCAACTGTAACCTGAGCTGCCACCTGAACCTCAGCATATGCTAGTAAAGATAATTTCCGGTTTGCTGTGAGCTCAGCTTCAGCCAGAAAAGCAGGCTTCGTATTTCGTTCTTTGCTCATTTTACTCCATTTCTCTCTGATACACCTTGGCCCCTCTGTGCCCTGTGGCCGCTCACCTTCTATTTGTCTGCCGTTGGTGCTATTTCTCTATAAGATGGGCACTCCCGGAGGCCAGGGCAGGCTGTGGAGGTGCAGGGAGGAGGAGGACAGGACATCGGGCAGCACTGAACACCAGGGATGCATTTGAGCTGCGGTTGCAGGAAGCAGGGGAATTCGGTGAAGTGCAGGTCCAGGGGAGGAGGGGAAGAACTCTGTGGGCAGAGCCCAGGGTGGAGGAAGCACAGGGTGTGGTCAGGCACCAGCCAGAAGCTGAGGAGGGTGTTTCAAGTGCGAATCAGGACCCAAGCGAGGCTTCGGGAAGAGTCTGGGTCCCGGCTGAAGAGGGTGGATGATTCTGTGGTTGGCCGGTGTTCAAAGCTAAAAGTCAGCAGAGGAGGGTGCCTGCGGCCATGTCCTCACATGGTGACTCTGGAGGCCCCATGGAAAGGGACTTGGAAACAAGGAAAATAAATACGTAGGAGAGGAAAACCCCCAGCAGGTGGTTGTAACCTTACAGATCAGACATAACGAAGGCCCAGCGCTGGGCTCTAATAGGGAAAAGGTGGGAGACTGCGAGATTTTTCGGCATTGATGGCCCTTTGGAGGTTGAATGGCTGTGGAGAGGAAGAGGAAGGAGAGTCAAAGACAATTCTGAATAAAAAAGAGACTTTGCTAATTCCCTGACTCTCACTTCTCTGTTTTGACCTTCCAAGGATGATACTAAGGCAAGTGAAGGAAAGCACGAGGGAAGAAAACGTGACCATGTTCTGAAGATACAGTGGGATTAGACCCATGCGCCCCCTGGTAGCTCCCTCCCGCCAGCAGGTGAGCCTCGGGCAGCCCACCCACCAGTCCGACGGGCCTGCTGCAGCGCCACCTGCTGGCTCCTCAACTCCCCGCGCCCCGCAGCCTCCGTTTCTCCACCTGCAAAATGGATATAAAATGCTTCCCTCGTAGGAATAATGTGGGGACTGATGAGATCATAGGTATGAAGGTGACTGGCCCAGCTCTGGGCACTTTAAAAATGTAAATTTCCTCTCTTCAAATCACTCCGTGGCTTCTGGTTTGTTTAAAAAAAAAAAAAAAAAGGAGTGCCAATACTTTCATCTTGTTGAGATGCCTGATCCCACAGTCCTCTCGCCTTCCTTTCTGTGCTCTCTCTTTGCTTGTCTCCTCATCTGTAAAATGAGGTTAATAATAGTACCTACCTCGTGGGACCATGTCGAGGACTGAGTAAGTTAATTCAGTTAAAGTGCTTAGAATACTACCTGGCACGTTCAGGACTATTTTGCTTTCTATTTTATTCTTCAGCAGGCTTTGGCATGGAACAGGGGTATTGCGTGGCAGATGCTGCAGTGGAAAAGTTGCAGATAAAAACCTTAAAGTTTTTCAGTGATTGCTAATGTAAAAACACATTGATAACTATATCAATCAGGGTCCTGGCAGGAAGAAGAAGACTCATTAGGGGCTACAAAAGTGTGGGTGGGTGAAGGAAACCAGCAAAAGCACAGGTGGTAATCCAGGACTAGTGAGAGCGATGATTCATCAGCCATGAGGGCAAGGGGTGGGGGCCACTGGAGCCAATGGTTGTGTGGGGAGGGCTCCCTGATAGGACCTGTGTCCTCAGGAGAGGGACACAGCCAACCCATGGCAACCTGGCAGGAAAGAAGCTGGAGGCTTGTTCTCCTCCTCCTTTCCATCGGTCGAATCCAACAGGAAGACAGAAGGCAGGGGAGGCCAGTGACACAGTCCATACGGGTCTACCGCTGGAGTGAAAAAATGGTGGGGGTGGGGTCTGGAGGGGTAATGGGAGATGGCCAGGACAATCATACTTCATATTTGTAGTTGATGATTATAGGGGTCAATACAGGCTCGCTGTTGGTGAGCTTCTCATTCCCACTAGAGGAGTCTGTTGACTGGGAACAATTTATCTGTGCAAACATGTCCGTGCTCCTAAACGGCGGAGGGTGGGAGGTGAAGTCTCTTTATTTTCTCTCTCTTCTCCACTGAGGAGCTGCAGAAGGACCCAGAGCCTAGGCTATGCCTCCCCTGCCTGTTCTGTTTCTTGTTAATAAGAAAAGCAGAGGCTGTTAGCACCTAGGAAACATGTCTTTTAGCCCTGGTATCTTGTCTACCAACAGGAGAGAAGGGGATGGGGATATGGGCTACCAGAAGGGTGGCAGACACAGTTTCTGGAGCTAAGAGGATGGTCCCAAATAGGGCTTTGAAGCAGAGGTGGCTGAGGCACCAGGCATTAACCACACATCTGGCTCCGTGTGGGGACAGTCCTGTGCAGGGGGAACGTTCCCCTCATTTCACAGATGAAGGCACAGAGCCCAGGAGAAGTCATGCTATAATTCACATGGCTAGTCAGTGGCAGGGCCATCATCCAAAGAAGCAAGGATGAATTACACTTTCCAGCATTGTCCAGGGATCCTGGTACAAAGGTTCCAGTGGTCAAGGGGAATGAGAAACATATTTGAATACAGAAGAGCAATCCCCGCAGTGAGTAGGGGTATATACCTAGGTGTGATCGTGTGCATTTTCGTTTCTCTTCTGCCAGAATGTGACTTTGAAGAAAATCATCTCTGTGGCTTTGTGAATCACTGGAACCCCAACGTGAACTGGTTTGTTGGAGGAGGAAACATTCGAAACTCCCCTTCCGTTCTCCTGCAGGATCACACCTTCAAGAGTGAACTGGGTGAGCTGGGGACAGATGGAGTCCTTTTCCTGGGGGGAGTGTTTCCGCCTTCCCCTCCTGCCCCCTCCATTGACCTAACTGTGGCCCTGTCAACAGAGAAGGGAGACAGGAGAGTGAGTAGGGACCGGGAGGCCTGGTGGAAGAGCAGGAAGGCCGGGCCGGGCTGTGAGTTTGAGATGAACCGTGGATAGGAGCTCTGTAACTAAGGACAAGGCCACCCAGTTAAAGGCTTTTCTTCACCTGTGACCTGGTCTTGCTCTTTTCACATTTCCATATTATGCTTTACTTTCTTATCACTTTGTTGTTCTGTATTTCTTATCCCTAAAGGCAGGGTGGGAATGATCCTAGGTTGCTTTTCACTAAAAATAGATCGAGTGATGGGAAACAGTCCTTAAGAACTTCCCAAGTGGCCCTGGGGTGAGCCCCAATTCCCAGTGGTGAATCCTGAAAGCAACAGGGCCACCTAGCGGCCAAGGGGGCTGGACTCTGCAGGGAAATGGAGAGGAGAGAGGTTCTTGGGGATGAGTCCACTCTAAGGAGCATGTTTCCACAGATGGGAGACATGGGCAAAGACTTACTTCCTAAGGATTATGACAGCCTTCACCTGGGCCCTGGGAAGCTTCCAGGGTCTCCCCATAGTTGCAAGACGCTCCAGTCCTCAACCCCAAGGGCTTGTTGACTAGCGAGAAGATTCTGGTAACTGACTCCATCAAGAGCAAGAATAGGAATTTTGGTTGTGCTGCAAACTGTCCTTTTTCCTAGTTTGATCCACTGCTATGTGGATACTGAGGTCATCTGCTCAGTCCTAATAAATTGTTGACAAGGACAATGTGTCCCCAAGCCTGAAGACTTGGCAACTTTTTATGGTTCTTTACATTATTCCTTGTTCATGGTAGTTTCTTTTCATGTGAATATTTGTAACCTTGTCTCTGACTCTTTTTTTAAAGTGCCCATCCTGCAGCTTATCTTGGCTCTGGACAGTCTCCATCCTGAGACTGGTCCTAGTATATCCAGACTCTCACACTCAATTTTCTAAAGGAGCCAGGCAGATGTTATAAAGTGAGTGACATGTGGGCTGGGAGAGGAGTGTGGCAAACTAGGGAGCACAGACCCTGTACAAAGCTCTAATTAATTACTGCCATGTGAGAATGCAGTTCCAGGGGGCAGATCTTTTGATTTCATAAGGTAATCAGGAAGGCAGGGGTTTTATGTGAAATTTCCCTAATTTTTTAAAGTTGGTAAATATTTTCTTTTTTTAAAAAAGATGTTATTTATTTGTTTGAGAGAGAGAGAGCACACAAACACACACACACACACACACATGAGCACGAGCAGGGGGAGCGGCAGAGAGAGAGAGGGAGAAGCAGACTCCCCGCTAAGCAGTGAGCCCAACTTGGGCTCTATCCCAGGACCCCAGAATCATGACCTGAGCCAAAGGCAGATGCTTAACCTACTGAGCCACCCATGCGCCCTGGTAAATATTTTCTTTAAAAACACTGCATGGGCCAACAAAACACATCTTCAGGTCAGGCCCAGTTAGCCAACTTCTATTTTGCAAACTTCATTTTATGTGTTCCTTTTCTTTTTCAACATGTCCAGGCTTCTTACAACAAAATGTTGATAAGTAACCATATAGTAAAAGGTTGGAGTCTCCTGGGCTTACCTGTTTAAGACAAATCCAACTTTGGATCTAGCATTTTCATTCATTTGACCCTGTATTGGGTCTGGTTGGGAAAACAGCAATAAAATGGCACATTCTCTATGGTTCTTGCCCAGGTTCAAAGAACATACATTCGAGAAAGGGAAAAGGATTTCTATCACACATGGGTGTAAGACAAGGTAGCATGTGTCAAGTGCTCTAAGAGTGGTCCCCCCATTTACATCAAAAAAAGAAGAGTGCTGGGTATTCAGAGACAAGAGAGATCACGTAACTGCTTGGACGTTCAAGAAGACATGATGATGAAAGAAGTCAACTGCGTTGAGGGATGGTTATAACTTTGACAGGCAGAGACAGGAGAGGGCTGGAGCCGTGATACATGGTAGCAATCACAAGGGTACCAGAGGGAGAGATATGATTGGGAAAGCAGTGTAGGGGCAACTTCTAAAAGGCCTCAAGTGCCAGGAAAGAGATTTTAACTTTACTCTGTTGACAACAGGAGGCCTTTGGAGGTCTTTGAGCAAGGAGAGATGCGATCACAGCAGTGTATTTAGTTTGGTTAGCCAGACAGTGATTATCTCAGTAAACAGAGGACCAAATGGTAGAACAAGAGAACTAAAAATACCCCAGAAATGATTTCTTTAGGTACATCTAAGGTCACTTACATAAATAATTGAGATTAGAAAAAGACAAAACATTTTCACTTCCTTCTTCTAAAAGTAAGGGTTAGCACTTTTGGAAATGACAAAAGATTGGAGTTCTCTCTCTATATATATCTCCATATTTTGGCTCTACAGACAGAGAGCCCATCTCCACTTGTGGCCATTGTAGGAAGCACTGTAAGTGTCATGCGTGGAGTGGGTGATAACCTAGCATGACAGATTAGTCCATGAATCTGCATGAGTATTTTAAATAACAACTGGGTTCATTCAAAACAACAAAATGGGGGCACCTGGGCAGCTCAGTTGGATAAGCATCTGCCTTCGGCTCAGGTCATGATCCCAGGGTCCTGGGATCGAGTCCCACATTGGGCTCCCTGCTCAGCGGGGAGCCTGCTTCTCCCTCTCCCTCTGCCTCTCTGTGCTCTCTCTGTCTCTCTCCCAAATGAATAAAGTATTTTAAAAATAAAAAAAAATGTTACCAACTCTTGAAAGCTTTGTTTCAAGGAATAGGACAACTTACATAACATTCTGCCATATCTTAAGAATATAGTACAGGGAGTAGAGAGAATCTTGAAAGATTGTATTAATCCCTGGGGTCATTATCACAGGTGTCCAAACTTAAATGTGGGGAAGTGTTGGAGAACTTTCCCCAAATCACTTAAAAATTAGTTCCAGAGTCAGATCCTCTGAGTAACCAATATCATGATTTAATGACTATGTGTTCAGTGCATCATTTTTCTTTCTTTTTTTAAAAGATGTTCTTTTTTAAGTAATCTCTATACCCAACGTGGGGCTTGAACTCACGACCCCAAGATCAAGAGTCACATGCTCCACTGACTGAGACCGCAGGCTCCCATATCATTTTTTATCCTCAATGATGATGAGGACCAGTTGGCTAGGGAGAACACCTATTTCCGGGGAGAGGCAGCAGATCTGTGTCCTACTGACAGATCATCCATCTGACTGTGTCACTTGAATGTCATCCATCCTCTGAGGAGTGCATCAGCCCTAGACCTTCCTCACTCTCATTTGTGACCATGGAACATTCTGCCCACATCTGTGTCAACAAGGGACAGAGAAAGAGGACCAGGCTAGGAGTTCAACACTTGTGCTCCAAGCCAAGTTATCTAAGTGCCAGATTGCCTTGGGCAATCCCTCGACTTCTCAGGGTCTCCACTGACCTGTTTGCAAATGAAGAATTTGAATTCCATAATCTCTAAGATGCCTTTGAGTTCTAGTGTTTTACTTCTAATGCTGTACATCAAAATCTCCAAATTCACCACTCATTGTAACTGGGGGGGAAAATAAACTGGGGAAACCCTAACTAAAGAAAGCTAAACAGACTTCTTTATTTCAGGACTTCTCAGTGCCTTTAATACAATTCTATGTTAATTTATATTATGACATTGCACAAATTATTCAAATACCAAAATGCTCTGTAAACATGCACAATGATGCATGACTAACAGAGATGTAAAATAAAAGATAGGGGACCACAGAAAAGTGAAAGATCACTTTGGTTTTGGGGTTCAGGGAAAGCTTTCTAGAAGAAGTCATCTCAGAACTGGAATTTGGCTAGATGGATAAGAAGTACAGCATATGCAAATGTATACAGGCCTGAGGGTGGATACTTTATTCTGCGGTTGGGGAGTATTTGAGAATGCCGAGATATAAGATGATGGCAGAGTAGCACTAGACCTAGATTATGTTCCTGCTCATAGCCAGAAGCCTGGGTGCCTACATTCTACTCGCTTCTCCCAGGTCTCTGCTATTTCTTTCCAATTCCTCTTGAACTTTTACACTGATATTTTGGCCAGTTGTAGCCAGACAACCATTTCCTCCTCACCCAATGCACGTGTATACACATGCGTGCACACACACACACACGCGTGCACACACACACACACACTCTCTCTCACACTCCTCCCACGTGGACTCCTATATAAGACTTCTTCCTATAGGAGATGGGGCTAAAACAGATGAGTTCTAGAGATTCTCAGATATTTTCCTTGAAAAGCCCATAGGACTCAGAGTTTTGACCAGAATCGCTCTTGGGGGAACAAAAAAAAACCACAAAAAACCCTCCAGTGCTCTGAATAAGAGAGGGATTGCCTTTCTTCGTACATTTGCCTTCAGCTGGGTATATTGATTTTTCCTGAGCTCTATCAATTTGGGTGGCAAAGTAAAGATTAAATGGTTCAGATGTCTGCCCACAGCAGCAGATTTTGCTCAAAAAAAAAAAATTCATCTCATGTTCATTCATATACTGGAAGCAGCTTATGCCTTTGCTTTCAGGGAAAAACCAGGGAGGTGAACGGAGGGGCGAGCAAAGCCATGTGCCTGCTTAGAGATACGCAAAAGGTTGAGGGACGTCTTCCCTGGAGGGCTCTGGCCTTTGTGTCATAGAAGAAGGAAGAGTGAATGTGGTGTCTGAAAAATGCAATGCGTATATGAATTTTCCTGCTTCTGGCCATGTATTTTTAACAGTTAACCCGAAACCATGAGTCAAGTTTTTCAAATGAGCACTCTGTCTCCAAATGTTTGTCTCAGGGTGGAAATGGCTAATAATGCAGTCAGAGCTCTTGTGGGACATCTTGGGAATATTGGAGGGGATGGGATATTATCCTTCTTTTTGTCGCCCAATTCCGATTCGTCACATATGGATTTTTTTCCTCTGTTAA